GTATGAATGTACTCATTTGTCCTTATTTTTTCTTTTTTTCTTTCTTTTTGCTTCCCCTCTCTCTCTCTTTTTGGTTATAGCAATGTTTCAGAAGCTTCTGTTCTTTAAAAAAGAAAAAAAAAAAAAAAACATTTGATCCTAAGGGAATTGGAATGTTACATTTCAAAAGTTGAACTCCTCATCCTGAGCAACGAAAGGCTTTGAAATGGAGCTATCCCATGTCCTTGCATTTAGACCAGAGCTTAGAGTCTGGGCTGACTTGAAAGCTGAGACATCAAAAGTGTACATGTTAGCTGAGCTTTCTCAAATTGATCTTCAAGACACCTAAAATGCAAACTTTTCCATCTACCTCTTTTCAATTCCAATATTTTGTTCAGTTTCTGAAACTTATGAACAAAGCTTCAGTGGGAAATTGTTTGTTAATTAAACCATGCATATTGTAAGAAAGAACAGATTAACGGTAACAGAGAGTGCTAATTTCAACACTGTAAATGTCCTATTGTTTGTTAATTTAAGTATTTTATATTCAATGTTTACTTTTAAAATTAATGCATAATTAATACTTTCACATTTTGACCCAGCATACTTGACAATGTGATGCCCTATAATAGTGTTTAGATCATTATTTATATAGTTGTCTTTTTATAATTTTGAGTACAAAAGGTTCTAAATTTTGCTCAAGAAACCTAAATATAATGCTTTTACATTTTAACTGTCTTTTGTTCTCATTTTAAACATTTTCTAGTATCAGTATGTACTCTCATGCCCTTTGAAAGGTATCAGGTATAGGCTGGGGATGTGGCTCAGTGGCAGAGTTCTTGCCTTGCAGACACAAGGCCCTGGATTGGATCCCAAGCCCCCATCATATGGTTACTACACATTCATAATGAAAGCATGTCTGAGAGACAGAGTTAACATATTTCTTTAACAAAACATGGTCATGTTAATAATAGTTTTTTGTCTTTTCTAATGTTTTTAATTAATGTCAAACATTTTATTTCTGGACCTTCTATATTTTTTTCTGAACACCAGAAATGATTCCTCTTTCTTAACACACTAAAATTTGTATTTAGAAATGACATAGAAATCCTTAATTTCATAGGATGCATCTTTAACCAGTAATTTACTCTAGTTTTTCAACTAAACATATTGTTTATTTTAGTCTAACCGTATTTTAAACAAGAGTTAAGCAACTACTCTTTCTCATAAAGTTATGAACATTCTCAAGTGACTCTTACAACTCACTAAAAAATAAGTACCCATAAAATTACAGAATCATACATTTTACTTTTAAAAAATGAAATAAACCATTAGAATAACACAGATAAATTACTTCTGAAGATGTAGAGATAAGGAATAACATACATACTTCTCTATGGTTCAGTAATAGAGTATTCAGTGGGTAAGCATTAAGTGGCAGACATCAGACATTCAGGACATTCAGGGCTGCTGAACTGAAGCATCTATAGGTTTGGGAGTAAACTGTGGTGTGGGGTGGGTGTGTGTTGGAGTCAGGTGTCTATGTGGAAGATCATACTTGACTATAGATTTTTTGTTCAAATTCTAAATTATCTGTGAACTGTATAGATTTGCTAGATTTTATCAAAGAACTGATCATGCAGGCAGGAGAAATAAACAGTTACCAGATATCACAAAATGCTAAAAGATACTGTGGCTGTAGCGTAATTGGAGCAAGGAATGTTTACTAGAGGCATTTGGTTGTTTTCAAGAAGACTGAGCTTTAGGAATGAAGACCAGGCCCTAAAATAGGGGTAACCCTCTTAAAGGAATAGTTGAAGTAAACTAGAACTACTTATATCAAAGAATAAAGCCACGTGTTCTAGAGACATGGCCTGATTCCCTCTATTTATTTTCCATCTCAGTCCATGACTATCCAGCTCATCATCCGAAGCAAGCAGTTATAAGTGGGAACATACAAGGATATGTATGAGAGGTTTTTTGAGAGCCAGGCATGGAAGAAGCCTATTTTATGTCTGTTCACATTCTGATATGTGAAACCCTAGGTTGTGACTATGCTAAGAGCCATGGGAAACTGTGAAAGCATTCTGCCTAGTAAGAAATAGAATTGAATTTGATGTGTGATTAACCAGTTTCTGAAACACATTGAAAAAAACTGAGGGCTCATGGCAAGCTGGAGCAGGAAAAAATTGGACGATTTCCACCACTGTAGAAACAAGGGTCCTCTATGAAGCCCTCATTTTGTTTTATTTTCTACATTATTAGTACATGTTTGCTGTACGTAATGATTACATTCATCATGGGGAGTTGATGCATGTGGCGTAGCCATTCTGTTTAAGAGTAGATGCTCAACCCAACCCTGTCCTCAGAAGGAATATTTCTAAAATTATTTATGTCAAGTGATTTTACTGTGGAGACTATTGTACTGGACCCAGAAAATTCATTATCCTTGAACCCAGGCTCCAGTTCTTTTTCTTTAACTTTGCTTTATATCCACTTAGATGAAATGAAAAGAGAATCTTGCAGAGACTGTCTCTGCTGTAAGAAAGAAGTCAAGTATCTGAAACTTTACCTTTTATCTGATTCAGAAATGCACGCTTAAATTCTTCAGGAATACAATCACTAAGTAACACACTGGAATGTTAGATAATGAATGGTCAGACATGTGTGGTCCCTGATAATAAAGATGCAAAATATATGATGTATGGCAGATAAATGTAAAGAAAATATTACTGGAAGGATCCACACACAATGATTTATCAGATGACTTCACACTTTCTCTCCTTTTTCACCTACTGGCACAAGAGCAAGACGGGGCATGGAAAAGAAGAGAAAGTGTTTTTAAAAATCAAGAAAATGGAAATCCAAGTATTAGAGGATAAACTCAAGATTGTCCCTGTTTTGTCTTCCTTAATGGAACTGATCTCATTTATGTGGAACATTAGTGTTAATTTAGAGTAAGTGTTCTCCTCAGCCTGATTCATAAGCTGTTGAAGATTCTAAGAGCAGAAACAGAATGATGCCTAGGAGCTTATCGTGAGATTTGGAGAGATTATCCCCTAAGTTCACTGGCAGGCCTGCAGAGGTGACCTGCCTCTTATCTGCAGAGATCATCAGCACCAGTATGGCCCTTTGTGATGGTAAATTCCTATAAGCAGCTTTAGATAGAAGATATATGGCATGGTTCTGGAGCAGGGAATTTCATCACTACAATTTCACTGCTGGGTCTTTGTTTAGAAACATCGCTCATATCTTTGTGTTTGACAGGAAAATAGCAGCTGTTTTCTGATCGTTTGGCCATCTGTTCTTTATGGCTTATATTATTAACATTTACAAAGGCTAATTGGCATTTTGAGGTGACTAAGGTAATTGATCAAGGAATACTCAACTATGTTTATCATGAAGCATGTTTTTAAAATGGCACAGACAGCAGCAGTAACATAACAGCTCAACACTGGCACTATCTGGTCAAATTCTAATAAGGGAGTAAAATTTTAAAATATTTTTTTCTTATTCTATTGTTGTCTTTTGAAGTTAATAAAATTTGTTCACTATCAGTGCAAATGAATCTTCCCTGATCATGCCAGACAATAGCAACCTCTTTATAACTCAAAGACCTTCTACATTCCAAAGTCCTTCAAGAAATTAGCAATTCATTATTATTTTCATTTGTCTTTGCAGTCATTATTGTACCTTTTGGTTTGGTATTTTGACAATACATTTATGGAAGGCCAAGATTGTATTTTCTAATTTTATCCAGTTACATAACATTTTAAATATTGAGTACTGGCCCGCCTTAAATGATTATACCCTCAATATTTGAGAACATATAACTGTAGTGTGAGTCAATTCTCAATAATAAAATAATGGCAGAGATTCTTCTCTTGAATTTGAGGGCTGTAAATTGTTAAAATTGCTGGTTTATTCAACTATCGCTTACTGAAATTCTACCAGGTACAGTTATCTTGCCTGAATTACTGTCATATCCCTCAATATCTCTTTCTGAGTTTAGCCTTTTTCACACCAATATATTTTGCACAGCAAACTAGAGTAAACGAGCATTGCATTGTGCAGGTTCATTACTGTTACTGTCATAATTAAAGTCTTTTAATGTATTGTTATGTTGTTATATCCTCTTTTATCTCAATCTCCCCCCTCATTTAAAATTGATTTTTTATTATTAGTTTTTTAGTTAAGGGAAAAATTTTAAAAAATTAGCAGGATATATTATAGTAACTCTTTTGATTTCCTATTAACTCGATTTGAAGCCCTCTCACCATCTTGTTTTGGCTGATTTTACTCTATTCTGTTCTGTTTGATAGTATCAATTTTGAGGGTATAGGCAACTACTTCGGAGGCAGTAAGATTCACTCTGATGCCCATTCTGCTTTGACTAGTATCTTCTTTTGAAGTTCAATAGTGTCTCCAATGTTTAGGTTTTATTGGTTTTGTTCTGTACTGTTTTGTTCAATTTTATTATACCTGATGATATAGGCAATTCTTTTTAAGGTAGCAAGAGGCATTGTGGTAACCATTGTTGATTACCTTGTATTCTATTTTTACATCATGTACTATGTCCATCCTTCGTTTTGACTGACTGCTTTGTTTTGTCACATTTGGTTTTATTCTCTTCCAAAAAAAGTAGTAAGAACTGTGGGAGTAATAAAACCCAAAATGTGTAAATGTTATTGTAAAAAATAGAGGAAAAGAAAGTGATTTAAAGGACAAAATTGCAAGTGTGTTTAGGTGTGTAAGATAGATGACCATATTACTAAGTTTTTGTTGGATCATTGAACATAACTGTTAGCAGTTTCGCTGTTTGAATGTTCACTTTTTATGCTTAATTTTGTAACTTGATCAACTATTTCTAAGATGACAATATGTAATCTATTAACTAGTATTTCTTACTGTTTATTTTTTTTTTTTTGAAATTCTGTATTACTTGTAGCCTTTTACTGTTTTGTTTTGTTTTTCTTTAAATTAAAAAAAAATAAAGACATATTTTCTACTTGGCTGTAAAAAAATAATTTTCTATTTATTTCACGATGGATGGCAAAATGATGTTTGTTGTGATGACTCCTATAGGCCTCCCTGTTTTCTCCATATTTTCTGTATTCACCCAGGGATGTGTAGACCTTTATTTTCGCAATGGTTTCTCATGTTTCTTTGTTTTTGCCCAGACTTTTGTGTGTAGAATGCACTTCTCCCTTTTTTATCTGAAAAAAAAAAATTTATAAGAACATAAAAGTTGGCAGTGTATCTTCTCTCCGTCTTATCCTGGAGGAGAGGCCCCTCTCTTACATTCTTACGTTAATGTATCAGCACCCATCTCTGCACCATGCTGATTGTTTGTTTTCCTGTGTTTTAAGTCTTGGATGGAAAATTTTACAGTTTATGCTTCTGTATTTCTATAGTAATCACATGTTCTGGCATTTAGTAGCTATATAGTAAATATTTGATGAAATATATAAATAAAACATCACTACAATAACACTGTTAATTGCTAATCCTTTTGAGCACTTAAAAGGTAAGTTCAAAGTGCTCTTGAGATGCCTGAAATTTGAGCTTTATAGTAACCCTGGTAGGTAAGCAGTGCTATTTTTCCTCTACTCTTTGTCTCAGTCTGTGCTTAGACAAAAGAAGCCCAGAAAAATATTCTCTGGGTTTGGGTATATAGTTCGGTGTTAGAGTTTTTGCTTAGCCATTTATAAGCCCTTGTTTTAGATCAACATGACACCAAAGGAAAACCTTCAAAGTTGTTGAATATACTCATTTTCCTGGGATTACATTCAGGTTTAAAGAAATTAAATACATTTTTCAAAATCTGATGCCATATATTATTTCATAATTTTGAATCTAAATTTGTTTGATTCTACGTCCCATGTTACTGCTTTTACATACTACCTCTCACATATGATGTAAAATGTTACATTCTGACAAAATAGGTTACTAATATAAGAGCAACATGACAATTATTCTAAAGCATTATAATCTACATGATAAAACACAATGATGAAATTCATATTTAAGTGTTTGAAGGATAAGCAAGTAAACAGTTGCTGTCAGAGCAGAGAAATGCAGTCTAATGCCACTCTAAGACACAGAGGAGAATGCGATGGAACAGGAGGTGTTAAGTTGAACTTTGAATAAGATGAGAGCCTTTCTCAGTGACGGGATGACATCCCATACAGAATGTCACACGTGCATAGGTATTCTGTGACTAGAGTGGAAATGACGGGATGAGAAGATAATAACATCACTTCGATTCACAGAAGGGGAAAATGCCCTGAATTTCATGCTAAAGATTTTGTGTTTCATTTTAGAAATATAAGGAGATTTTAAAAAGGGTAGTAAAATGTTTCTGACCTCTGATTTAGGACCTCATTTCTAAATCCATATTTTAAAAAAGGACAACAATTTAACTCAGTAAATAGCAGTGTACCATTAATTATGATCTGCTAACTTGACCAAATCAAGAGAAACTTAATAGATGAATAAACTTCACTTCTAGGTGTTTCTGGGAATTTCCAGAGATAATTGTCATGCAGATCACAAACAGTAGTGGAGAAGACCTCCATGACTGTGAGTAGCACCACCCCACAGGCTCTAGCCTGCATTGAATAAAAACGGAAGAAAAATGGGGAAGTTAGTTTGCAATCTGATAGCACTGCTTTATTTGAGACTCTGCACCTCCTGTTACTACCATCACCTGTGGATGTTAAACTCAGATTCCTCAGCCTTCAATGCAGACTCACCACTAGCAGTTCTCCAGGAAGCAGCTGCGCCCTCAGTTGTGAACTATTGGTGGATCCTACATCTCGCTTTTGCCTCCAGCAGGTGGACTGAACAGCTGCCAGGTCCTCTGGCTCTTCAGCATGCGGTCATTTTGGACTATCCTGTCTCTGATCTCATAAGACCATCTAATAAATCTCCTCACATAGTTTCATACTTTTTTATGCATTCTGTTCCTCTTGAGAACAGTATCCGATATAGATGGAAATCTAGAAATGACTAGAAAGTATATTGCAGATTAAGAATCTATAGGATTTCAGAATTTGGTGAGTATGGTGTTAAGAAGGAAGACCACAGGAATTTCTTTTGGCTTGTGGTGTTGTAAATCCTTGAACTATTTCTTTAGGATTGACTTAGGGCATTATTTGTCATCAGAAAGTCATATTATAACCACAGTAGCCCTGATTATTATTTATTGAATTATAATTGTATCACATATTCCAGAGGTTGTACGACAGCCTATCACAGGCAGTCACAGATTTTGGAATTAGAAAATTATTAGAAAAGGAATTAGAAAATTATTCTTTACTTTTTTGAAAGGACAGGCTCAACTTACCATTTTCTTCTTAAGGAAATTACATTTTCTTTTCGCTTGTTTTTCTCACATCAGTTGCTTGATGACAAATCAAAGCCTGGCATTCAATAATCTGTAAACAACAAAAATCTAATGGATAGAAGGGAGGAAATGAAGATATTCAAATGAAGCTAATGTCAGGTGTTTCTGGTCAGTCAATGGAGAAACGAAATCAAAGCAAGATATAAAATGTGACAACATCATGCTTACAGAAAGTAACACTGTATAATTTTCTTAATTTTCAAATTGCATACATCATCTCTCTAGGTATTCTACAAAGTGATGTAGGTTTAGTTTAAAAACAGTTTTTCCTTAACACCAAATAGAATATGGCTTTAAGTTCCGTGATTTATCTATTTTAACTCTAATCTAAATTTGCAGTTATCAGTTGAAATTATTTAATCATTTGAATAAGATCTGTGATAGAATACAAGTAATTTTTTCCTGAAGTATTTTTTCTGACTGCATAAGGCCAGCATTCCAAGTATTTTACTGTGAATAAAATCTTTTTATTATGTGTCACTTTTTTACATTATAATTATAATTTTAGCTTTTGTTATACTATGATGTATTATTTCATTATATACTCATGTGTGCATATAGATCACTCTATTTCACCCTCAGTGTTCTCCCCCCACCATATACACACGTATACACACACACACACACACACACACACACACACACACAAACACACACACTGAATATATTTTCTTAGAGGACTCTTTAGTACATTTTTTCTTGGTTATTATTTGCTAATTTAACTCTCACAGTTCTGTGTATATTAAAAGTTCATAAATAAACATACCAGTGTATATTAATCACTAAATAATGTTTGGAATATACTTCACTGCGTAATTTACAAAGTATGCAAATCCAACTGACAGGGTCTATAAAATTTGTCCAGATATCTACTTCTCACTTACGAAGCAAGCCCCACTGAGGAAGGAACTGGAAAGGATTCCAGTACTGCAAAGAAATGGAAACATTTAATCAAGATGCTTGACTTTTCATTCTTGAAATCATCCACTTTCTCTCCATGTACTGTAGATACCAAATCCACTATAGCAAAATGTCTACTAAATAACTACAGTGGGTGCTGAAAAGCAGCACTGAGACCTCCTTTCAGATCCAGGCACTGATTTCCTCAGCTCCTGGAAGAGAGATCACTGATGATTTATAGCTGAGTCTCTCTTCAGGCACAGCTTGTGGCCCAGCAGAATTGCCTCACACAGGTGGGCAGTCTACAGTCGAGATTAGGAGCTTGTGGGAGCTATGCTTTGTGATTCCACGGCCTCAGGGAGGGAGTCTTTAAAAGTTCACTACAGCTTCCAAGTAAACGATGGGATTTTCTGAGATCTCTTTGGAAACTGCATCTACATCTCCTTTCCTTTTGCCGAATCCTGTCCCCCCCCCACTCCTTCACAGGCTGTACTTGGGACCATTCCCAACTCCCATCTCAGTCATGGCCTGCACACTATTTTTTGTTGGTTTGATTTAAAGAAAAAAATATATTTTTCCATGATGTGTCCTGTTCTTGCAAGTGTGATTAAAAACAAACAAACAAACAAAAAAACAAAACAGATTAAGAAGGCTACCTTTTAAAGAGAGAGTGAGAAATGTAAAGGTTTCATTATTTTGAAGATTGGTATTTTGACTGTGTCTGAGATAAATTCTATCTAACTGTAATTAAAGCAAACTCTGTGAAGTATTAGTAGTAGTACCCTCTTCCAGAATCTTACACTATAATTGAGTTAGTTCAGCCATAGTTTCTCTCAAAAGTTCTTCAGAGATCCACTGGGGTAAAGAATGGTGGAAAGTCTATGACTGTTAATTTTATCTGAGTGCTGCCCATGCTCAGACTCCTAAATTTTTCAATGTGTACATCTTTAAGTATTGTATTTTCTAAAAGAGTTTTGTGGAGGGACTAGCTAAATTTTGAAATTCTTAATTATCCCTCTATTATAATTTCATTATGGCTATTTTTTGATGTCCCAAAATTGTAAAATTTTGTTAACATTTCACATTAACAAATTTGGTTTTTGTTTTACATCAAAGTGTAATTATACTGATTACTTTATGTTTCAAACTGCTGACTAATAAATTACCTGTATGTCAGTATAGCTATAATGTACACAAAATATTTATGTCAATGTGTGACTTTTCTCATTGCTGAGACAAATATTTGACATTCAAAGTTAAAGGAGCAAGGCTCATTATAGCTCACAATTTGTAGAGGTTTCAATACATAGTTTGTTGGCTCCGAGTCAGGATAGCAAGGAAGAGGAGGCATCAGAGAGGAGAAACTTCAGGGGGCAGAAGACAGTAAATCAATGAAGTAGAAAAGAAGCAGCGAGCAACAAACAGCAACCACAGCAGCCCTCTTCTGTCCTTTACATTCTCTCTGGGTGACCAGCCCTCAGGGGTAGCATTCACATCTAGGGAGAGACACTCTTACTAACAGCAAATGCACCTTGAATCAATCTCAGCATCACATTCTTATTCGTAGCCACAGCCACTCTGGAGCCAGCCACCTCTGAAAAGCAAAGCTCCACAGATGACCACATGAGGCTTTGAAAGAGGAATTGCACACAAGCCACGATACTTATGAATATGAAGAGGGCTACTGTCCAGGATTGGGCAGCCTTGTTGACTAGAGCCTCTTCTAAAGGTGATGTACCATGTAGGGAGCTTTTGTTAAACTGAAAACTCATTTTTTGGGGGGACAAGAAGCAGACAGAGAAAGAGGAGTGCTGGGGTCCCAAACTCCCTTTTGTGGTCATGTCTCCAGGACCTCCGGGTCTCCAATAGGCCCCACATTCTAAAAGCACAAGCATCTTGTGCTGCCCTGCACACACACCTTTAATACATGGGCCCATTTCACAAATGCAGATGCATTCATTACATCAGTAGGAGGAGTCTCAAAGAAAACGACCATCATACTCAAAAGTCCAAAGCGACTCAGATCTGAGACCCTACACAATAAAAATACATATGAAAAATAAGTTACATACTTCCAAGATGTAATGTTGGAATAGGTGCAATGTAAGCATCCCCATTTCTAAGGGGGAAATAGGAAAATAAAAAGAACTGACTCAAAGCAAGACTGAAACCCAAAAGGACAGTGCAAATTCTAAAGCTCCATATTCACAATCCAGGTCACACTAATGGGACGGAACCCTCCAGCCACATGCTAGGGCTCTTTACTGGCTCTGTGCACTGCTAACAGCTTTCCTTGACAGGTGCTGCATATTAATGGCACCTTTATCTTTGTGCATTTGCCATTGCAGCTTCATTTCAATAGCTTCTTAGTTATTGCCCCCACAGTGGCTCTCCTCGGGGGCTGTGATGCCACAGGACACTGCCAAGTCTTCTGGACTTCATTTTGAAATTTCATTTGAGATTGCCATGACCCCATAAGTCTTTCACTGTGCTCACTTGCAAAATCAGCATACATAGTTAATGCAAGAGGTACTTTCCTGACTGCACACAGGGAAATGAATCGTGATGCACCTCTGGTCATGTAGGCCATCTTTCTTGAAATGATTTTTCCCTAAAAATCCTTGCAATAATTTGCATTTCTAACACTCTGAACCAGAAGAGAAACAGTGTTAGACATTTCTGAGCTGAACTTTTTATGATTTTTAAAAACTTTTTGTTAGTACATGTTTGGTGTACATCCTGTTTACTTCCTTGAGTGGAGTCCGTATATGGACATAACAGATATTAACTCCTTTATTCATACCCTTTATTTCCCCTCCTTTTGCTTCTCCCCATCTCTTGACTGCTTTCTGTTCGAGAAATATATCTCTCTACTTCCTATTACTTACCTATTATTTTTATGATTTGTATTTCTCATGAAAGAGAAATCATATGATATTTAATCTTCTGTGTCTGATGTATTTCACTTAATATTACAGTCTCAAGGTGAATTCATTTTCCTACAAGTTTATCTTTTTTAATGGAAGAATATTACTACTCCATTGTTTAGAAACCACATTTTCTTTATCCATTTGTTTTGTGAATGACATATAGATCACTTCCAAACTTTAGTTGTTAGTTGTTATGAATCGTGCTCCTATATACATGAGTGTGCAAGTATCCCTGTAATATGACATCTTTAACACTTTCAGGAAGACACATACAAGAAAATAGCTGGACCAAGTGAAATTTTTAGTTTCAGATTTTTGAGGAATCTCCATAATGATTTCCATAGTGCACCATTTTACAATGCCATCAATGATACAGACAATTTCCATTTCAATGTCAAGCTTTCAACATTTAAGCATATTTTCCTTGGGGTTTTTTAGTGTGAATCCCTGTTGGATTTTGGCAAAGGTTGTTTTCCACATCTATTGAGATGATCATGTGATTCTTTTCTTCTCTTTTTTATTTTAAAGAGGATAAAACCAAGGAAAATAAAACAGAATAAAATCAATCAAAATGAACCAGTATAAGTGATATAGGACTTCATAACCCTATGAAATCAACATTGGTTACCATAATGTCTTTTGCCGTGTTTAATATACTTACAGATACCTTCAAATATAGCAAAAATTGAGCAGAACAGAATAGAAACAATAAAAACAAAACAGTGAATTCAATAAAGGACTTTAAAACAAGCCAATAGTAAATCCAAAATGGCTACCCTAATATGTCTTATCTTTTAAATAGCTGTTCATGCCATCAGACTTAACATAATCAAAGAAAACAAAAGAGAATAAAACTCAACCCAACAAAACATTGAGAATCATATTGTTTCCAGGCAGGAATCACCTTCTGGTGAGGCCTGGTTCTCTCCCTCCGCAGTCCATGAATGGCACTGACTTACCAAGAGAGGCTTGGGTCTGCCTGGCCCTGCTCAGGCAGTGACCCCTGCATGGCACTGGTTTCCAGGTGGGGATCCGATCATGTGATTCTTGTCCTTGCTTCTGTTTATGAAATGTACAACCTTTATTTATTTGAATATGTTGAACTTTGGCTTGGATGAAACATATTTGGTCATGATGTATGATCTTTTTGATGATTTGTTGTTAATATTCCGTTTGCTAATATCTTGTTAAAAGATGTTTTTCATCTATATTAATTATAATATTTTGATCTATAGTTCACATTCCTGAGTGGATCTTTGTCTGAAATCAGAATAGTCATTCTAGGAATGGTTTTGGGACGAGGCTTTCTCTTTCAATTTTACATTACAGTAAGCGAGGAGCACTGGTATTAGATTTCCCTGAAGTTCTTGGAGAAGTGAGCTATGAATCTATCCAGACCTGGGTTTTTCTCGGTAGATAGTTGGTAGATATACCACCTCAATTTTATTGCCTGTTATTGGATTATTCAGGCTTGTAAAATTTTGATTAACTTGTTAATTCATACATATTTAAGATATCTATACACTATCTCTGAATTCTCCAATTTATTGGCAGAGGGATTCGTGAAGTAGGTATTAATAATCCTTTAGATTCTGGCAGTTTCTATTGTGATTTTACCCTTTTAATTCTAATTGCATCATATTGGGTCTTTTCTCTCCTTTTTGGAGGGGGTTAAATTGACTAAAGATTAATCTATTTTGTTTTTGTTTATTTATTTATTTATTTATTTTTGAGTGCTGGGACTCAAACTCAGGACCTTGGGCTTGCCAGGCAGGCACTGTGCTGCTAAATATGTCCTCAGTCCCTGTTTAGTTTATTCTTTTAAATAACCAACTTTTCAGTTCAGTAATTCTTTTTATTGTGTTGTTGGTCTTGATTTCATTGACTTTTCCTCTGAGATTTATAATTTCTATCCTTTTGCTAGTTTTTTTGGGTTTGTATTTTTCTTGTTTTTCTGGGATGCTCAAGCTCACCATTATGTTATTTTGGGGGGGCTTGCTCTATTTCTGTGAAGTGGACGTTCACACTCATAAACTTTCTTCTTAAGACTGACTTCACAAGTTCTGTTACATTGTTCTGGCATTACATTTAGTTCTAGAAATGGTCTCATTTTTTCCCATGGTTTCTTTTGTGATGCATTGTTTAAGAGTATATTGTTTAGTTTCCATGCATTTGCATAATTTCTACTTTTTATCATTGATTTCTAGTGTCACTGCACTTTACACTGATAATACTCATAGTATAATTTCAATTCTTTTATATTTGCTTG